AAAAATTTAACCAAATAAAGTTCATATATCATATAATAATATGAATCAAAAATCTCAATTTTAGTTGGTGGGGTCCCGTAAGGTGATTTTAATAGCTTAGCCTCCATATATATTATAAATAATAATTCTAATTTGTATTTTTTTTTTTTTTAAGTATAATTAACCTTTAAATAGTTATTTTCTATATAGTCATATCATTATATAAGTATATTTTATTAGGTAAAAGTTAATAATAAACTTATTAAAATTCTTTTATAATCATATTATATAATTTTTTTATAAATACCTTAAATATTTTAATATTGAAGAATATGATTATATAGAAATTTGACTGTATAAATTAATATATAAAAATCTGATATTTTATGTAAAAGTTTTTATAATAAAATTGTCACTTTTTTTTAAAAATTAATCAGAGTATTTTATGCATAAGGATTTTACAATTTAAGCTAATTCTAAAAAGAAATAATTTTTTAGCTTTTTTTTAATATTTATTAAATATTGATTTTGTATAATATTTCTTTAAAGTTTATAAAATCTATGTTTTTATTTATAAAGATATATTTAATTTGAATGATTTGATTTAATCTATGATTTTATCAATATTTCTAACATAGCTTTAATTATATCTTTTTAATGATATTATCTATAGTAAATCTGTAAAAAGGTAGTAATATCAGCATCTATTTTATCTATTTAGGTCTATCAAATTGTGAAAATTATATTAATTAATTAGTAATAAAATTTAAAATATCTATATCTATTTAAAAAATATTTGATTATAGTAAGAATACTTTATTCTTTAATTTGCCTAATATAGAGATTTTATAAGTGATAAGATAAAGATTTATTAATAAAGCTATTTTTAAATTTAAATATATTTTTTTATAAAAATTATCTTTAAATCTTAGATGTATTATTAATAAATTTTTTAATAAATTTTAGTAGTGTTATCATAATACATTGATAAAATATTGATGGAACATAGATAGGACATATGTAGGATAGATAAGACATTTAGGATATAATGTAAGACAAGTTAGGACATATGGGTACTTTGCAGTAGAAATGAAAGAAACCACCAAAAAAATTTTTTTTACTTTATTATTTTTTTAGTAAAATAAAACCAGATTTCACATTAATTAAAAAAATTTTTTGGTAGTTTTCTTATGATGAAATTCTATTTAGTATTTAACTATCTTATTCAATAACTTTTATTCTAAATCTAATAATAATATTATAATTATATAATCGATTTAAATAATCATTCAATATATTGATTGTTACCTTGTAAAGGAAGGTGAAATTGCAAATTATGATGTAAATTTGTATTATATGTATTTTTATTTGAAATTATATTTCTAATAAATATAAAAAGCTGATTATGTGATTATATAAACTTATTATGAAAGTATAACTTAGTGTTATAGTGTCGTTTTAATATTTTACTGTATATTATTTCTTTTCTGTTCATTCAAACAATAGTAATGACAAAAGATATTTAAGCTTAGTTCTGTAGTTCCGAGAATACAAATAAATAAAAACAAATGCTAAATTTGGGTGATTGACAAATATATCGAAAAGTAAAAAAATATGTATTATCTCACCGTTCCATAAAGATTTCTGAATAGTGATGTCACCCGCGATTTCCAAAAACTTTTGGAAATGAAGTCCCTTTCATTTTCTACACAAAACAATAATCATGTGACTCGATAATTTGTTTTGACGTAATTAACAAAATCTCCTGATCATGACTTCAATCACCTATATACGTTAGATAGAAACGCGCGTAGTTTATAATATTATGTCAAAAGATGATGTAAAATGATGTAAAGGTATTAGTCATTTAATAATGATAATTTAATATTTTGGTGAAACTATATAGTTTTCGATTTCGGTGGCGTAATATATAATAAATAACTATTGATATTAATAATAAATTTTTTTTTTTTCACATATATATACACATGTATATGTATTTATTTATAAATCTTTTTTTTTTTTAACAAAAAAAAAAAAAAAAAAAAAAAAAAAAAATCTCCCAATTTTCATTTTCATCAATGTAATATATAAGATATTATATAAACGACGTCAAAAGTAAATAAAACGAAACGTCAAAGATAATATATTAAACATATATTAGAAAGAAGAAACGTCAGAAAATAAAACTTGATAAAATCTAAATATTTAAAAAAAATTATCACAAATGACAAATCAACAACAGCGTCTAGATAACAACACCGTTAATTCCATTACATTCTTTAACCCTCCCTATAATATTCAGCATACAACATATCAACAACCGAATGATGGGGTAGATGGCGACATGATCACTTCTCATAATATTCAACATGCAATGCAAGAACTTTCTTCTTCTTCTTCTTCTTCGACTATCTATTATCAACAACAATCGTCTTCACAATTCCGACATCCCTATCCAACAACATCATTACGAAATTCCCAATTTACAACAATTACTTATACGATTCCATCAATTACACCTACTTCAACTAATTTAAAATACAATAAACCTCAAACATGTGCAACTTCATCTAATATCACTCCCATTAAAATTAACGACGAAAAAAGAGCTCAAAGGAAAGAGAGAAATCGTATTGCAGCTAAAGAGTGCAGAGAACGCAGAAAGGCCTACATATTGAATTTGGAAAATAAAGCAAGTAGCCTAGAAGATGAAAATTTGAAATGTAGGCAAAGAATTTTAGAATCAAAGACCAAGCTAGAATGGATCGAATCCAAAAGTCATGAAAATATTCAATTGAAAAATTTAGTTGAGGAATTAAAAGAAGAAATAATGAAATTAGAAAGAAGTGAATTGAATCGCGAAGGAGATGACGATGTAGGTGATTTCGCCATCAATAATGATTTTAAACGATAAGTGTATTAAAGGAGACCAAGAGGGATTGTTAATTTCTAAGATCGGTTTGTTAATATTGCATGTAGATGATTATCAATTTAATTTTTTCGCAAATATAATATCTTTTTAATTTTTCTGCGGAATTTATAAATGATGTCAGTAGGTTTGCAAAAATAATTTCTATTTCTTGCTAATACAAATATGAATTTAATTTTGTACAACATATATATTATTATTACTACTATTAAATGTTCGCGCAGTATTCTTAAATAAATAATGGCGCAGTTTCCCGACATAGTCACGTTTCAGTTTAAGATATTGTAAGTTTTAGATTCTTTAGAAATCATTTGAATTAATCAGGTCGTACCACAAAACTATTTACAATTATCCTAAATAAAAAAAAAAAAAATTGTTATAAAGAAGTGCTTGAAGGGGTTAAAGTAAAGTTAGATCAACTTGGAGAATTTGGTAAGAGTGTTTGTTTCACTGCCGTTCCCATCACATGATTCCTCAATTGTTTTGTTACTCAAATGTTTATTCGGATATATATAATAATAATTCCGAATTTTTTGTCCTTTTTTTTTTTTTTCGGGATAATCATTCCTCAACACTTTTTAGAAATTACCTCTTATTAATATCGAAAATGTCAGAAGAACATTTACCAAATATTCCAGTATTTTTATCCGAAGCACAAAATTTAGAGGAAAAGGCATTTTCAACAAAGTTTCGTCAAATTACTGAAGCGGAGATGGAAAGGATACGCCTTTCCAATGAATCATCTAGCCCATTTAGTACAGTAACAGCGAGTAGTTTAACTTCAATGAAACTTAATAGATATTCGGATATTATACCATTTGATCGTAATCGCGTTAAATTGCATAGTAAGAGAGGTGGGAATAAAACGGATTACATTAATGCAAGTTACATTGAAGCACCACAAAAAATACGTAAATATATAGCAACACAAGGTCCATTAGACAATACTATTGAGGATTTTTGGTGCATGATGTGGGAACAACATAGTCATGTTATCGTGATGTTATCTAAAGAGCATGAAAAGGGTAAAGTTAAATGTTCCAAATATTGGCCTGAATCAAATGGTTCGCCATTCGTCTTTCCAGAATTAGGGTTGAAGGTTGTAATAGAAGGTGAGGAATTAGAACCGAATTTTTCTAGTTTAATTCGCACATTTCGTTTAGAAAAATTTAATTCGCAAGGGGGTGATGATATGGTAAATTCTCAAGGAGGTGATGGTAGTCCTACATCTCAGTCAGAAGACAACAACAAAAAAGTTAGAAGGGTAACACAATTATATTTTGTTGGATGGCCCGATCATGGAGTACCAGATTCACCCGATATCATATTAAATTTAATTAAGAAAACAAATCAATTTCAACAAAAATATCAACAGGAATATGGAAGCGACGTGGAGATTGGACCTGCCGTGATTCATTGTAGTGCAGGATGCGGTAGAACCGGCACATTTTGTACTATTGATAGTTGTTTGGCCATGTTACCACAAATTGCAAGTGATGATAGTACAGATTTAATTGAGCTCCTTGTGAAATTTTTCAGGGAACAACGTAGAACCATGGTTCAAACCCTTGGACAATTTCAATATTGTTATTTAGCCGTCCTCAGTAAACTTGTCGTGAATAAATAAGGGGAATGTAGAGGAGGGAGGAAGCGAAAGATTTGGGGAAAGGGAAATTTAAAATCATGGAATTATTATTATTATTATTTTATTTTTTATTTTATTTTACTGAGACTGTAATAAACAAATACACAACATTTTAAATTAGTTATTTATTTACTGCGGTCATGGTGTGAAATTCACGTGAAATATGCGCAGCAGAAAATTAAATTAAAATAAATTAAATAAATTTCTGTTAATGAGCATTAATAGTAATACTCCCCAACATAGATACCAGGATTGCAACGAGCAAAACTATTCTACTATTATGATTAGTTGAAGAAAAGTCATTTGATTGCGTTGATGTTGGTAAAGATGAAGTAGGCGTAACGATTGAAGGTGAAGGTTCAAATATTATTGACCATTTATATTCCTCATTATTGCTGATATCAAGCAATAATAGGTCACTTTCTTTTCCTTGTTCGTACCCAAATCCTATCAAAGGTCATATTTAAAATTCAGTAAATCCAAAAGAAAAGAGAAGAGAAAAAATAAAGTAAAATATTATTTTACCAAAAGATATGACCATAAAATTTCCAATTACATTTGATTTATGATCATATCGATTTGCTGGAATGTCACCAGAAACGTTTGGGATGTACCATTCGAAATTTATGGTATCTAACACATAAAGTGAGTCTGCGGACACAACATTAAAACCTCCAAATATTATTACCCTTCTTCCATCCAATCCTGTTAAATTTTTTTTTTTTTTAAAAAAAGATAATGATTAAATGAACAAATTTATTTTTAAATTATTATCACATACCGAGTACGGTAGAAAATAAATATCTTTTGGAAGGGGATGACCCTGAAGTTTTCTGTCAAACGTAAAGGAATGATAAAATTTTTTATGTTTCAGCTATCGTAAGAACGTTCGATCATCAAAGACCTACTTTTATATTCCAAACGTTATTAACAATATCATATAAATGTATCTCGTTTAATTCAATGATCTCTTTGCCGTTATGCCCGCCAAAGTAGATGATGTTTTGATTTGGTAATAAGTTTGCACCATAATAAAATCTTGGGGTGGGTGCATTTATCATACTTCCCGATTTCCAAATTAAATTTATCGTGTCTAAAATAATCATATCATTTAATATACCAAATTCACTTGAAGCCCCACCAAACAAATACATATTTCCGTTATAATCGATGATTCCTGTTAAACTCCTTTTTTTTGATAACGTAATCACCTTTGACGTTTGGAATGCTCCATAAATCATTTTGCGAGTCGTATGTATGAATCAAGGACGTTTCATTTGAAAACCCTCCATATAGAATTAATGTATCATTATTTATACCACCTTTAGCGGATGCAGCCGCCCAATGTGATGGAACCGTGTTAATTTTTGTTAAATCTTGCCATAATGAGTTTATTATAATTGTGTTAAACGTTTTAGAAAATTCAAGATAAAAAAATTCTTTCCCAACGATTTCATTTATTGTCGCATTTGTAGATATGCTGTTTCCACCCAAAATATATAATTTGTTATTTATAAATGTGGACGTATGATAAATTCGTTCTTTTGGTCGAAATGATTCAATTTGTGAATTTGTCACTTCAATTAAAAATGGAAGTAAGTACCACGCAATAAAAATCATCAAATTCTTCAACATTTTAATTCTCTTTTTTTTTTTTTTCAAAGAAAATGAAAAAAAAAAAAGTCGAGTGAATTTATTTTTTTATTTGTATCTAGAATTGGTATCACGAACTGCATATTTTTCGATTCCAATTCCACAAGTTTTAAAATTTTGACAAAACATTTTTTTAATGTTTTATATGCAGGGGAGAATTCGTTCATCACGTGAGTTTTATTTTTTGAATGGGATTAGTTGGACACATTTATTTGAATGAGATTATCAAAAAAAATTTATTCTCCCTCTTTCTTTATTTATTCTAACTATTTATATACCATGGTTGTATTCAAATCGAAAATTCCAGATATTGAAATCCCCTCGGTTGGAATTTTTCAATATGTTTTTTCAAATCCAAATAAAGTTTCTGAAGACAAGCCCATTTTTATTGATGGTTTAACTGACAAAAAATTAACTTTTGCTGAATTAAAATCAAATGCAAAAAAATTTGCTGCTGGATTACAAGACAAAGTTGGTTTTAAACGTGGGGATGTTTTATCCATTTTTTCTCCTAATCAGGTACGGAAACAATTGAAAATAAAAAAAAAATCTCTTTTTGTTTTATTTTTAATGAGCTTTAACTTTATAGGTTGATTATCCGACCGTAATCTTTGGTACAATTGCTGCTGGTAAGTCAGTAATTAATTCACTTTCTATCCCCTCCTTTTTTAATATCAAACGTTTATAATGTAGGTGGTAAAGTTTCACCTGCCAATCCAACGTACACTGCCGAAGAATTTGCTTCTCAATTAAAAGATTGTGGAGCATCCATAATAGTAGCCCACCCACACGTTCTTCATGCTGTTATAAAAGCAGCCGCAGAAGCTAATATTCCCGAATCGAAAATCTTTCTTTTTGGCGATGAAGTAGTTAATGGAATCTTACCTTATAATAGTTTATTTGGCGAACGCGAAGCCATTCCCGTAGAATATACACCTGAAGAAGTTAAAGAAACAACAGCTTTCTTATGCTATAGTTCTGGTACTTCTGGAAAGCAAAAAGGTGTTGAAACTACTCATCTTAATATGGTTGCCAATGTGTCGCAAATTTTGGCTATTGAACAAGAAGCTCACCCTGGAATTGTTTATATGGGTGTTCTGGTGCGTGTAGAAGGAATTTTTTTTTTTTTTTTTTTTTGAAATTTACGTATTTCAAATTTTTTTTTTTATCCATCTTCAGCCATTCTTTCATATTTATGGATTGAATCTTCTCATGCATTTTGTTCTCGTTCTTGTAAGATCAAGTTTAAATTTTATTGTTTTACTTTCAAAACTTTGTAAATTTAAATTAAACACCCTTTGCATTTTAGGGGGCTTCATGTGTAGTTATTTCCAAGTTTGAATTTGAATCATTTTGTCGTGTAATCGAAAATTACAAGGTTTCGATAGCTCATATTGTACCTCCAATCGTACTCTTATTAGTTAAAAGTCCTATAACAAAGAAATATAATTTATCAAGTTTACAATTAATCATTAGTGGCGCAGCCCCATTAAGTAAAGATTTAATTGAAAGTTTTTATAACGTTCATAAGATTAATATTAAGCAAGGTTATGGTTTAACTGAAACCACTCCTGTAACTCATCTCGATCTTACTACCGATATTGTTTATGGTTCTTGTGGTATTCTTGTTCCAAATATGGAATGTAAATTGATATCTGAAGATGGTCAAGGTAAAAAAAAATAATTCCAAAAAAAAAAAAAAAAAGGTTGACCTTTTTTATGCAAATATTTTCAATGTTTATAGAAGTAGGATATAATACGCCAGGTGAAGTCTGCGTTCGTGGACCAAATGTCATGAAGGGATATTTAAATAATAAAGAGACAACTGACGCCGTTATTGATAAAGATGGATTTTTCCACACAGGAGATGTCGGTTTAGTTGATGATAATGGTAATTATTATAATTTGTATTATTATAATTGATATAT